TCACAGCGTTTCTCTGCTATAATGGCTGCGAACGCCGACCGAAGGGAGGCGTGAGCATTGCTGTGAGTTCAGAAATTTTTTTAGACTTCTGGGACTTTTTGCCTTGTATATTTACGAACCTTACACATGAAAAAAGAAAAGCATCAAGAAGATGACTTAGTCAGGCCCTCAGCGAGCGCCGACCGAAGGGAGGCGTGAGCATTGTCTTCGATTTAAAAATCACGAAAGCGCGTTCGGTAGCGCAGATCCAGGTTATTAAAGTCAAGGGACCGAGCGAGTGGAGACGAGCGTTACCTTGTTTTTGACGGCTAGCGGGAAACAACCGTCGTAATATAAATTTTTCTTCTTTGACGACAACTGGTGAATAGCTAGCTGATCCGGCAGCCAATCGGTGTCTACTTATAAATATTTAAACATACATAAACATAATAAACTAATAAATACACTTTTATAATGTATATAGTGAATAAAAAGATTACTTAACCTTACTTTTATTCATAAACATTTGTGCGTCCGATAGAGGTCTTTCCACGACTCAGTCACAATGAATGTCGTAACTGATAGACAGGTCGAAAGAAAGAAATGACGAAGAGACTGATTGGAAGGAAAAGATGAATCAACCTCTGTGTTAAATTTAATATGCTGTGTAAGTTAGCGTTAAATCTCAACGAGTGACCTATGCTACTATCCTTTTTCGCTGTAGCTCCATTAGCCGCATAGCTATGAAGAGGAGACTTGGATAAATTCGGCACTATAATATAATTTTCAACGTCCTTATTTCATTTTCTTTGTTTGAAATTTGTCTATTTTCACATATTAGATAAAAATGTTCTTGACCTCGTCTCTTCGTTCAAGCATTACATTACAAATATTACTCCATGTCAATATTATTTACACAATATTTTGGCAAATAATTGAAATACTCTGTTTTATATTTAAATTTTATAATTTACCCTATCCGACAAATGCATTTGGTATAGAATTATCAATGACATTTTTGTTAGTTTTAAACGATTTTATTCGACAATTTTTTGGTATTAAAGGCAATTTAACACAACGCATACCATTGTTAATTACATTTTTGGTATTCAATGCTTTTTGTTCATTAGGCTTTGTTTTCTTCCTCATTTGGCAATCCTATGTCCAACGCGTTGAAATTATCCTATCATCGTTAGCATTACTAATAATTCTAATCGAAACCATATTCTCCATTGTGACAATAATTCGGCTAATAATACCCGTAAAATTTTTGACACCACAACAAAAGCTCGATAGAATACGAGAAGCCAGAGAAAATTTTCAAAAAAATAAAAGTGAATGATTCTTATACATATGGAAGTATCAACCAAAATCTTCAGAATTCAAATCGTATTGATTATTTGTATTTTAATACTGGATGTGATCAGCGATTCTATTGCAAAGATGGAGAAACAGTAGGTGTTAATCTCGATTATAAGATATTCAGATGCTCTGTTAACAATACAGAGTTTTTGTCGTATGCTAATTCATTTGAGAAAGTCGCAAATCAATTTAATTATCAATCGCTAAATCCGATTAGGCAGTACTATGAAGGTTCAATTTTGTACTATTATTTTTTTTGTAGGTTTGAAAATTCATTTTTTGTCACTTTTGATTTGAAAGATTTTTGTAAACAAGATTCCTCGCATGTACGCAACTAAGATTTGAAAGTCGAAAGAAGTGAACATAGGAAACATAATGCCTAAAAATTTCAAGCAGTCCTTATAACTGTTTACGGGGTATCACACCCAGAGCGGCGATTTGCGCGCAGCCAGGCTCGCCTCTACAAAATGAAGATTTCATATGGATTTAGTCATCTATATATTGTACTATGTAGATTTTTGATGAACATTTTGAAATAAATTTCAATATTCACTTAGAAAAGGCTAATAAATACCCATAAGGCATGAATATTTGAGAAAGAACATTCGATTATTCAAATACATATAGTTCAAACTTTTGATCATTCATTCTATTCAGTCTTTTCAGGCAGAATACGATAGAGAATTTCTTTTTCACTGAACATAGTGAACATTCGAATACATTCCGTGGCATCACAACTTGAAATAAATAATTTTATCTTTGGCTTATATCTCAATTTTATTAGCTTCAAACATTGCATGTCATTCGGAAAAAGAACCTATTCGCAAATCATTCAGTCATGCTGTTGAGTTAGTGTACAGAGGATCTGGCTAAAACAAACACAGACAACAGATATCGTTGTAGTCTACTTTTCATGCCATCTTGGTATTTTAGAAATCAGTATAAGGTTTATTCTTGCGGAATATAAACTGAAATAAAAATTCATTATTGCACTGTAAAAACTTAAGCCTCCCCTCCCCCGGGTCAGAAGCCTATCTCAGCCCGGATAGATCTGATCTGAGCCAAATTTTCAGGGAATGTTGACCATGTCAAAGTGTGGTAACGAAATTTTTTTTTTGGCGTCACTTGCAACTGTTCGTGAGAGGGTGTCACAACAAGGGCCAAAAATATGCCATTCACAAGAATTCTCATTCCAGGTAAATGACAGAGAGCTTGGGTTAGTTTTGTTTTGCGGTAAACACCTATGCTTAGGAGTTGACAGAATCCGATTTTGAATTTTTTATTTACTGATTTCTAGTGCTTAATAGAACTTTAAAATTCGAAAAATCCTTGGAAGGTTTCATAGAAATCCTCATTTCTGTAAAAAATAGACGCATAATTTAAAAATCTTTAAACTATCGTTAAAAATTTTAAACTATCGACAGATACAACAATCTGTCCGTGTACTGATAATTATTTTCGACTTATCAGTCGATTTATTTTTAGCGCTGATTACAAATATCACCTTAATTTTGCTTTGAAAGTGGCTCTTGATGATGAAAATTGAGTTTATTATTATGTTGAACTTATTGTCATGATTTCACCATGATTCCAAACCTTTAGACCAATTACTTGCACGTAGATTTGCAGTATTTTTTAGAGGCTATCGATTATATTAAGAGGAGGTCCCCCCATTTAGATTTTCGCCCAACATTCCCACTTTGTATAGAATACTTCGAGGTATATGTCCTGAAGTTTTCTCGGCTTACTGACATTATTTGGGGGCCTGAGAAAAAAACTAATTACTTTAAAAAATATTGTTAAGTTTTTGAACAAGGGACTATTATTAAAAGAATTCCTGTTCATTCTCCATTCATCATAAAAATTTGGTTCTTGTCTAGATCGTAGAGAAATGTGTGGAGAATATTTACTACGAGAAAATATGTAAACATTTTTGTTCTTTCCTTCCTCTTATTGACTAATTAGCACTAATTAAGGTTAATTTAGCCTACTGCATTAGCTTACAGTCCCATTTGCAAAATAAGGACTCAACAAAAGGATTTAAGCTATATCTCACCTGACAGAGAATTTCACGAGCTACAAGTGTGACTAGCTTAAGAGTTTTAAAATTCAATTCATTCATTAGAATTTTTTTATAACAGTCCCGTGCTCAAAAATTTAACAATATTTTTTTAATTAATTAAGTTTATTCTCACCCAAACAATGTCCGTAAGCCGAAAAAAGTTCAGAACATATACTTCGAAGTGTCCTCTACAAACTGGGAAATTTTAACAAAAAAATTCAAAACTAAAAACTTTCTCTAGTTTTTAGCTAAGCGAAAATATTTTCACAATATTCTGAACCAAATTTCGCTTAAAGGAAGCATTTTCAAGGGAAAGTGTGGGTACGAAAGTTGTCCAGAATCAGATGCCCTAGAATATGAACGAAGGATTTTGAAAAATCCTTTAAACCGGACTTTAAAATTAAATTTTACTAAATTTTAAAATTTTAAAAACCGTATTTTTCAATTTAAAAATCAAGTTTAATGAATTTTGAAAAATTCTTCGTTCCTATTCCAGGGAATCTGATTCTGGACAACTTTCATATCCGCACTTTTCCTTGTAAATGCTTCCTTCGTACGAAATTCGGTTCAAGATGTTTTTAAAAATACTTCTTGCTCCAAAGTGCCGTCGGGCAGGTCAAAGCGGAATAACTCAGTCAAAGCTTGACCGAAAGCTTGACCAAATTTCTTGTAGATACATCTTGATTTCCTCTATCGATTGACATCAAAACCGAATTATATATAGAAATCTGAAAATTTTATTAAACTTTTAAAAATCGAGCAAAAAACCGAGACTAAACTTAAAAAATTATTTTCTGAAAAACTACAGGTCCGGTACCCGAATACTTCAAAATGTCCTCTACAAACTGATAGGAAATACCGAGTGGGGAGCCCTCCTTAAGAACGATTTCTGATTAAAGTTTTCTTTATGGCGAAAAAAATGAAATACTACGAAAGATAGCGATAATTATTAGTGGTAAAAATGCTTGTTTTGTTTAAGAATCATATTTTGTACCATTTTTAACTATTTATTTATACATATTCTTGATCAGCTCGTCGAGCTCTATCGATTCATGTACACGACATAACTTACCATTTGCTGTTCCTGACAAAGAAAAATTATGTTTTTGTATTCAGGAACATTTTTTAATTTTCCTATCATCAAAATGCATTTTGATTTAGAGTACCCGATCATTTTTCTCTGATCGGACACAATATTTTTTGGCCAAAGTCTTACCATAATACCCAGAGTATATAGAGATATTTTTGTGAAAGTTTGATTTTTGTTGTATTTCAAATATTCGAGTTACTGAAATTTTGATTTTTCCAAAATTCCTGGATTTTCTCATTTAGGGTCCATGTTTTGTATTTTCTATAAATATTATTACAGAATACACGGACACTATTTTATCCAATTATTATGGATACACTAACACTATTTTATGTAGATTGAATGGAGAACATTTAGAAGATTGTCAGTTGTACGGGGTATAAAAAAATCATATCGATCCATAAATACTAATGTTAGTTACAATAGTATTGACCACTGTCATATATAATTGCTGGAATAATAAAATATAAAATCTTTAAACATTGAAATTTTATAAAACAATGGGTGTTGAAGTTGTCGAAGTTTTTGAAGCAGAATCTGATGGAGTAGTATTTCTATTCTTATTAAAGTTTAGTCTTGCGGAATATAAACTGAAATAAAAATTCATTATTGCACTGTAAAAACTTAAGCCTCCCCTCCTCCGGGTCAGAAGCCTATCTCAGCCCGGATAGATCTGATCTATGAAGAATAAGGAAGAACAGGAATAGTTCTTTCGTATCGTACGCCCTTTTCTTGTTAGTTGATCCTTTGTACTTTTTTGTTACTTCAAGTGCATTTCTTTTTTGCTGAATCTACTCAAGTATTTGGAAAGAGATACTCTTGTTTCTGATCGATGTTCTTATATCAGAGAGGTTTTTACGCAAATTTTTTTTCCTTCATCAAATACTGCCTGTAGCGATTTTTTAGTAGCTTTTTGTCTCATTTGAGTTTTTGACGAAGAGAAAACATTTTGCTAAAATCATGAGTTGCCACGAGACTCAGCGTGGTCGATTACCTATGTTTCCATTTATTTTCCTGGTTTCTACACCTAAGGAAATATCGATCCAGGGATTTCGAAGAGATCCGATACCGTGCCTAAACCACAAAAGATTAAAAAGTCGAACGGTTTTTCGAAACATTTCTGCTTATGGAATAGGGTTCGTACTATCTACTTTCAAAAAACAGGAATAGGAGGAGATTGTTTTCCTTTGAAAACAGGAAAGTCCTCAGAAATAGGGGAAATAAGCGAATGTAGAAAAACAACAAGTGAGATTTATCGCAATGTGTTAAATAATGTATCGCTAGAGATAAACTAAAAATTCGCTTGATCTTTAAGGTTAAATCATAAATAAAGATTTAAATAATATTTAAAAAATGTTATACAGCTTTAAAACATAGTCATAGATAATCGTATATATCAAGCTTATGCCTATTTTTAATTATGTGTTCAGTATTATTATTGATGTTTTCGTTCATCTTCCTCTTTTTCTATACGTACAACAACTAGAGGTAAATGGGACTAGTTTTTTATATCTTTGTAGTTAATTGTTTAGTTCCGATGAAAAATTTGGTCATAGAACACGAAAAAATGTTCCGCCGCTGGGGGAATGTTCAATGCGGCTTTTTGCTATTGTACTGCGTTGTAGAGCTTTGTACGGCTTTGCAAGAAAAAATTTGATAAAAAAACGAGTTTGAAACTCACAGTAGAATTTGATTCTACAACGAAAGTTTTACTTTTACGGGATCAGTTTTTTGGTCCTTGGTCCCGACCCGCCCATATCTAACATCATACTTTTTCTTTACTCTTCGTTTCTTCTTTGGCTTTCATTTTTTTACTTCTTCCGTTTAG